AATTTAATTTCGGCTATTTATTTACTCTGCAAAAATGTTTTATATTAAGTCACGAATGGTCAGAAACACAATTTTTCTGCTCATTTGGATATAAAAAAATTTTTTTAGAAAACAAGTTCTCTTAACGAAATAACAAAAATTCCTAGGTGTATCCTACAAGTGTAAATATCTTTCCTTTTGCAGCGACGTATCTATTCGCACGACATATGTAACCAAATCTCACATAATAATTAATCAAATCACAGTCAGCGTACAATAAATTATTTGACCTATAATGATAATATATTTCTGCATGAGCAGGTACATGCCATTTTTTCAGGCACGATCTTCAAATTACAACATTTGTTGGCGCACAGCATGCTTTCTAACTTATTAATTTTATAGTTGTTATAAAGTAGACTCGTAGAGCGTTTGCTGCATGTGAGCATTATTCAGAGGACTATTAGTATACTGGGTTAACATAAATACAAAATCGATCGAGAAAGTTGAAGTGGAAGTAAGGATTAACAATAATAGGTTGCGTTTCTTTAGTTGGCCTCACCAATGTAGAATTATGGTCTACTATTATATTAGTACTGCTCTAATAATAGACCTAATCCTTAAATTGTAGATTTGTCATGATATAACTGCCTAATCTATAAGATCTTACGGGGAAGTCACACCATCGACTACACCAACTCACTGTATCGTATCAATTACCAATACATGATGTAGAACAAGTTTAGGCTAGAGAAGGAACAATATATTTAATATGAACAGAAAATATAAGGTAACATTCAGATGGACCACGCCTGCATGGTCGAGCCATGCCATCCGATCAACTCCAGTCCATTTAATTCATTGTTCGCGCCTTCTCCATCGTTAGGTATTTCTCCGCGTTAAATATTGAATATCTATTTTCCGAGTAGTCTTGTGTTCAGCTTTGACGATTGTGTGGTTATGGTCAAATGCCACTACAAACTTTTCATTGACTTCAGGATTGAAACTAACCAGTCTCCTATTGGCACGTACGCATCCTGTGTAGATCGCCTTGACATGACCTTAAGTTATGGGCATTATAGACAGAGATGATGGTAACTATCAGTAGAGTCCAGGACGCGTGTTTCGTCCTACTCTGAACTTGTCGGCTGGATGTACCTGCATCTCAGAGTTAATGTCCGATCCAGTGCTGTGTTTGAGCCCCTCATCGAACATCAATTCTGTGATGAATGTATATCCGGCTGGCGAGAACCAAGTAGGAAGGCATGCGCGCTGTGGATTCCACTTTTAGCCACTATCATTACTGCTTATTTACTGAAGTGTTAATAGATTTATCTTGATATAAGGTTCAGATACTGGATATGTGTTTCTCCTCTATCGCCTGAGATTAGACAGTTGTCACCTTTGCGCATACCGAGCGGAGACCAGTTCACTAAAATTCTGGAAATTTCTCACAGCGTTTCTTATTTTGTAGAGCTAGAAGAGATGATAATGACCGTTTAAGAGGCGTTGACATTGACCATAGGAATTCGGTTAGATACTTCAACCCAGTCAACTTTAAAAAATGGTAATCTTTGTTCGTGGCCATCAAATTGTAAGCATAAGTTAGCTGACAGCGGTCTGCAGTGGTTTTAGGGTGAAATTTGCTGAAAACCGTCGGTAGGACACCGGCTACTGCTGACTTTTTAATGGACAAGACTGGAATATTGCCAGTTCCTGCCTTTAGTTCGATTCGCTCTTCACCTTCCTTAGTTTTTAGGGAACTAGTTAGAATGTTTGTGAGAAGACAGATAGTAGTTTCGACTATGGTTTGCAAAGTTCAGGACACTAATCGACTATCGGAATAAATTACGAGCCATCTATCTGCCTGACTCAAACTGCGGATAATCTCCCAGAAAATGATGCTGTACAAATAAATGTTTGGGTTTTTCCCTATTAACCTCTGCTTCTCTGAATCGATGACATCGGTTGTTGGGTCTACAAAATGTTTCTTGTGTACAGTGAATACATTCGTGTCTATGAAAACAATGATGCACTCTACAGCTATCTGTATAGACTGTTGTTCCTGGTTGTACATACTATTTAATGGTTTCCTGGAGAGGTAAAGTCTTTGTGTTACGAACATATTGAAAGCATCTTTTTTAAGTAGTTTATCCACAATTCTGATAACGTACTACTAAGATTGAGAAAACTATTTTTATTCAATCCGTATTTACACATGTGCACCTATTGTATTTTCTCTTCAGAACAGGAAACTTATCAGTTTCGACGAACTTGCCAATACCTCTAAAACACAAGTTCAGGTTCGATAGCATTTTTGAACAAGTATCTCCACACTATAGATACTACTGTACTGGTCTGGCTTTTGTTATATCAGTCAGGCAGCTAATTGGGACACTGGTGATACTGTAATCCACTGGATAGCACTTAGCATGATTTGTCTCAGTATAATCCTAAAACGTTAGAAAATGAACCAATTTTAGCTGACGTCTTATTCCAGCAAGATTGGGACTGTAAAACTGATTCAACCTTCATCTCGATCCCTTTAAACCCACTTAATTGCTAAGATAACACATTAAGGTACTTCTGAGCGATCCGGTCTCCACTAAACTTTCGGGAATGACATTACAATTAAAATCATCGGTAAGATGAGTGCATGTCAACGTTTCCATCAAAATATCTGCTTCTACCTTCAACAACCCACCTGCAATGTGATTGAGTGGCTCAAGGCTTTCAGTATATTATTCTTTTACCGAATGGGGTTACTTAGACAGACGTTGCGATAAAAATACCTTTACCCGCGGGTGGTGATCGACTTTACCCATTTGTTGACTGAACAACTTTCCTCATCTACCATCTGTCACATTGTCTGGAATGATGTTACATTTCACATCAGTACTGCTAGGACCTCTATGATGGTATTGGTGGTGCATAATAGACAGCTATATAGATCAGATACAGTTGCCATGGACGTTTTCTGGTGGATTAGTAGCAGAAGGTCTGACTTTAGCTAACTATAGGAATTTTCGCATGTTGATGACACTTTTCTGTACGTATTGTGGTATCAACATCAGTCAGGTTTTACTTTCTCGTGTAATCAGGGGGATAGTTTAAGTCGAGTTTCTTTTGGAGTTCTTGGCCGCTCGTAATTAAGTTTGTAATTTAAAAATCGTATAAGTCGCAGATGTATTGAGAAACACAACAAGTGCCTAATACATTGAGTAGGATAATTATGTATAATCCATACTAACGTTATGGTACATCTTAGTTGGTCAATCAGGAAATTTGTTTCGACAGCAGTACCGACTGCCAACAAAAGTTGATAGTTAGATCAAACAATTGTCCGCGAAATAATAAATTAGATGGTCAACTTTTCACACACTACATTCCCACTTCTCCTCAGTAAGTACTCTAGCGTCATTCAAAACCAAAACGTAAATGCAAACTAAACCCAACGCACAGATGCTAAACTGGTGAAATTCGATAAAATAAAGTTAGAGCTATGTGTTTTGATACACCATCTTTAAATGAGGGTGTTGCGGTGATCCTCAATTTCATTTGGGGCTGCATGTATATCACAATATATATATGGTTTCGTAGACCTTCAAAATTCTAGCAGCTTGTGTAGTTAGTTCCTTTATTGCTGTTGTTTCGGGATTTCTGGAGTGAAGTGCTTTCTGGATAAACCATTGCCAACTATTTGTCTGAAAACTCCCCGCATCTGTGAAAGCAGTCCGGTTTTCGGTATAAGTCTCAATTAGATCTTCTCTTTTAAGGACAGCCCTCTAACTTCCTTAATAAGATACTCTAAATCTGTTAGCTAGACAACATCAGCAGCAACCTACTGGGACACAGAACAAACCAAACTCCAACGAGGAGGGATTTATCTATCTATTCATTTGAACACATAAATATTGGTACTAGAGGGCACCAAATATATATGCACCACACAAAACAATGAGAATAAGGTAAGGTAGCATAATAATAATAATGGGAAAACAGAAAGGTACAATCAGAAGAAATCTTTCAGTTAAGGAAGAAACAACCACTTCTTATGAAGAAAGTAAAAGGTTACATCAGGATCGCCACTGGCTTCTATTCTGAGTCATATCTGATAACGTCTCTAGCCACTGTGTCGCAACATCTCTCGGACCCCAGCCAGGTAGTCGTGAAGGACCAACACAAGCCAGTCCTTTGCAGCTTTCTTTTATGCCACGATACTATGTCATATACTGACCACCTCTCCGCTCCTTCCAACCAGTCCCAGAGTCGGAAAATAATGCACGATGTGGAATTCTCTGGGGCGACATTCGGAGAACATGTCCAAGCCACCGATTTCGGTGTTTCAAGATGGTGACACCAATCGGATCATCGTCTCTGTGCCCGAACACACGGAGGGGGGCAGTCAGGAACAGGCGATAGAGATGGATAGAGCACACGTTGTGAAAATCACCAAGCTGAATCACAAATCAAGCTCTACTTTGGATTCCAGAAGGCAAAATCGAAAGCTACAGAATAGGACGTGGCGGAAACTATCAAGAAAAGCTCAGGACAGAATAAATTGAAGATTTCCGACAGTGACCTACACTCCACTAGGGATAACAGACGTATCTAGTTAATGGTTTCGAGATTTCGCCACCAAAAATATAAGGTGTAATGTATCTATTCATCACTGCAAGCAAAGTCACATTTCATATTGTTAGGTGAAGGACGTAAGAATTTTAATTCAACAGTATTCATAACTTAAATGTGTAGTAACAAGCTCATAATTTGTACATGAATTTAGTTATATACGACTAACACCATGACCATGGAAGAAGAAAGGAAAAGTTATAAGGCACAATGTATTTTGTGCTTTGCAGGTTACCACAGAAATCAGTAAACTTGACAAGCGATATATAATACAACTAATGCATTTTGACGAAGTATATTGTATGAACATATATATGCACATACATCATCACAAAAACTGAAGATACAGTATTCGAATAAAAAAATGAGAATTATTGAACTCCATCGTCACTTCAGTCTCAATGTATTGAACAAAGACTTTAGTTCCCTGTTCGAATTCTGAGTCTCGCTTTGGCGGCATGGCAACATTCCCAGGTAGAGCACAAGGACAGCTAGCTTTCGATGAATACGGAAGACCCTTTATCATATTAAGAGACCAAGAGAAAAAGAAGCGCCTATGTGGCATACAGGCACACAAAGTAGGTATTATTAATATTCAATGATTGCAAAATTAGTCGCACATAATGGCAGCGAAAACAGTAGCAGGGACTCTAAGAACATCTTTGGGTCCTAAGGGTTTAGACAAACTTCTTGTTAGTCCGGATGGAGATGTAACTGTTACTAACGATGGACGAACAATTCTTGACAAAATGGATGTGGAGCATGAAATTGCAAAATTACTTGTTCAACTTAGTAGGTCTCAAGATGATGAGATAGGAGATGGTACTACGGGTGTTGTTGTCCTCGCGGGTGCACTTTTAGAACAAGCTGAACAATTGCTTGACAAAGGTCTTCATCCGATTCGCATAGCAGATGGCTACGAATTAGCTGCAAAACATTGCCTTTCCACCCTGGAAGAGATCAGTGTTCAATTCGAATTTTCTATCGAAAATCGAGAACCTCTCATCAAAACTGCTATGACTACTCTTGGGTCAAAAATGTAAGTCTCTCTCACAATAAAACTAAGTATTTAGAGTCAACCGTTGTCAAAGAATGTTTGCCGAAATGGCAGTCGATGCCGTTTTATCAGTTGCTGACTTGCAACGTCGTGATGTGGATTTTGAACTCATCAAAGTCGAAGGAAAAGTTGGTGGTAGACTTGAAGACTCATTGTTGGTGAAAGGTGTAATTGTTGACAAGGATTTTTCTCATCCTCAAATGCCGCGTTCAGTAGAAAATGCCAGACTGGCAATTCTTACGTGCCCTTTTGAACCACCTAAACCAAAAACAAAACATAATTTGTTTGTAAGCTCCACCGAGGACTACCATAAGTTACGAGATTACGAACAAAAGAAGTTCGAGGAAATGGTAAAAAGGTTAGTGCCCTCCGGTTTAATTGTATCGAGTCTCAAATTTTTCATCTTTAGTACTACTCATTGGTTTTTAAACGTATTTTCTACCCCCATCTTACTTAATTGTTATTTAAAAGTGGCAACTGGTGCTTGTAAATTACTGAAAGTACTCCATGCGATTCCAATTTTTTCAGTCGAGTTAGGTCCTTAGGTTTAGTATATTCTTAAACGGTGTCCTAGACTACTTGTATTGTTGACATATTGTAGAAAGTTTTGACGGATCAGTACTTGCTAATGTATTACTACAGCTGTCTGTCGGTATCTTATTATCCTCCAACATACCTGTTATAAGCTGAAACCAACCCCTATTTCAAACATACTGAACCAAACCAGTTTTTGTTTTCTATTATTTATTTATTCCAACACAGATAATGGTACAAAAAGGCACCAAATACATATGTGCCACACAAATATTATCCGATATGTGTGAGGGCTGTGATACTGCCCGGGTGCCCAAACCGAAGCAGGTGGTTTTCTTAGGGGGTCACACGAGCCTTCGACCTGAAGGTCTGATCCACAAGGCAGTGGAGCATCGTAAGGAGATGCAGTCCCATGGAAGCTGGTGACCGAAAGTCGGTTCATACGCCATTTGTTCCCTCAGGATACTGGAGTCCATGTGCACCATTGGTTTGGAATTCGGTTAAAGCGCCGGACATTCGCTTTTCGTCCTCTCATTTTTGTAAACAACACCCCCGCCACGAGAAGGCAGTGAGTAGGACTTCCCTGGCAGAGGCTGTATGCGCGTGGCCGTGTGAGAGCATTCCGAGAGGGAGGGCGGACTCTCCCCACTCTCGGCCGTGCCAGAGCATTTGGGCATTTTTTGTTTTCTAATCTGCTTTTACTCCCGAGAACGGCATAACATAAGCAGGGACTGAGTTTGCTTAACATGCCTCAACCATTCCGATGTACAATTCGCATCCTCAGATGACTGATCATCATCAGGTAATGTTTTACATCGGAACTGATCACCTAAAGTTTTAGGTTTATTTGAACAGTCCTTCAAGTGTTGTGATGGTTTGATACATATAAGCATTCTTATTACTTCAGTCAATCATCAATAACGTAGAACTTCGTACGTACATCAGTTCGAGTTGCCATACCACATTAGCATACAGATGTAATTGTCAATTCAAATCCCGTAGTGGTAGAGGTAATAAGAGTATAAGCAGTAATCGGAAAGATTAGGGTTTGAAGATGTTATCAAAAGAGTATAACCCAGTGAAATAAATTTTTAAAAAAGGACATGGATTCAAACGATTAGAATTTGGGAGAACATGTTTGGCTGCCATGATTTGTCACAATGTCCCGTCTTCAACTGACGATTCTAGTTGAATAAATGGAATTTAGTTTTCTTTTACGGCTTATATGACTTCATCAGCCCACTAAGACTGAAGACTCAAATGATAAGTACAGCAGTTCACCTTTTCAGTAACTTCGTTTTCCGTGTTAAAGTTAGGATATAACATTGACAAAGGTCCAGGCACAATTGTTTTCCAACCTTGGAAATTAGTTACCTATTAAGTGACCGATAATCAGAAATAGATGGTCAATCCAGTAGTCATTAGTTTTTGGCCAAAGTTATACAAAAAACAGTGGTCATTTTGAGTTATATTCATAAGAAAATTAAAGTTGGTGACCAATAAAGCTGGGTTACCATAAAATCGGTTGTATATGAAAACTTAATCACTTAGTGTTGGTCCAAATTTTGAAGATGATAAACACCTTTATGTTCTGTTTTAATTGGTTTCTTCTTGGTTATGTGACTAAAATACAGTTTTCAACTTTGATGCGCCTACTACAGCTTGGGCAGCTGAATAGTACCTCTCTCCTTTACAGATTATGTTCGAATCCAAGTAAAAAAGTTTACTTGATTGACTGGTCACGTACTTGTAAATACGAATGTGACTACCATAAATTACGACGATCGCTTGCTTTCAAATATAAATGCTTAGTTTATTTTGTCAGTGTTAAAAAGTCGTTAATTTTCCACTGAACTTCCTTTACTGTTGATATAATGTGTAACAGCTTGAGTCAACTCGCATTGGCCTAGGGTCCTGTAATTTTTCTGTTTATTGTAGATATTCAGAATCTAAGTGACTATCTATACTGTTTGTTCCTACCAGGTCTATAGATGCACCAAGGGTGCTACTGAGATAAACTCCAGTCACCTGTCAAAAAACGTACAATAGAAGAGGCATCGGCCTCTTCGCATATGTGTCAAGTTTGTTTTTTAATCAAAATTGGTAACATTTATTCTAGTATAACAAATTCGACTGTAGTATCTTATATTGTTTTCAGTTAGGACAAAATTCTGTTTTTGACGGTTAGTAAAAACTATCATTTGTGGACTTCCACATAGCATCTATTTGTAAGGCCATTAGCCTGAGTTCAAGCACAACAAATCACCAGGTAGCGAAATAAAACTAATGAAACCCCTCAAATTATCTAATTTCTTGTCGATTCGATTATTTTCGCGTCTTTTCTGTTTTTATATTCTTTAAAGTGCTTGCTGAGAAAAATTCACTAATTCCAAGTTGTTTCTTTTATCTCGAGATTTCTGTTTCATTTGTACATTCAAGCTCAACTATTGGTAGCACCATATTAAACTTAGAGTATATTTATGTCTTTTATGTCATGTCTTGGAAAGCAATATTACTTAATTGAGTAAATTCAACCTTTCCACAGAATAAAAACATTTCCAGTAATATTTAAGTTTCTGGTCACATTTATATTCATCAGGGTCAAGGACACTGGTGCTAACTTGGTTATTTGTCAATGGGGTTTCGATGATGAAGCTAATCATTTACTTTTACGTGAGAAGCTACCCGCTGTTCGCTGGGTTGGTGGTCCTGAAATCGAGTTGATTGCCATTGCCACCGGTGGAAGAATTGTCCCCAGATTTGAGGAGTTAACCAAGGAAAAACTTGGGAAGGCGGGTGTGGTACGCGAACTTTCATTTGGCACTACCAAAGAACGTATGCTTGTAATTGAGCAGTGTGAAAACTCAAAAGCAGTGACCTGTTTTATACGCGGTAGTTCTCGAATGATTGTGGACGAAGCAAAACGTTCTTTACATGATGCTCTTTGTGTTGTTCGCAATTTGGTAAGCAGTATATATTATCTTTGGTCTAGCAAATTTATAAGAATGTATTTTTCAATTAGTTGTAACGGTGTGTTTGATCCTTAGAATTATTAAATTGTTTGCTCCAAAATAATAAACCACATCTAGAATACGTCGACGAATAATGACCTATGGAAGAGATACTACTGTTTATAGTTGTAAAAAGATCGAACGTATTAATGATGATTTCAGAAGGAAGAATACAATCGACGATTAAGGAAAGTAAGATGATGTTGAGATTCAGTATTTAAAAAGAGCTAGAGGATACATGTACCTAGTCTCTCAAAACAATTTTAAAGCTCATCACCCATAGTTTTTTAGTCATTGAGCACTTTTATTGCATCAACTCCGGTTATTTCGTGCCTCTTTAAACAGCCCAGTTTAGTATCTCTTAGTTTCATGGACCCGTGGTTAGTCCTGATTTGGATGTCCCTAGCTTCCTTCTAATCTACCCCTTCGTCAGCCAGGATTTCCCTTCGACGTAAGCGTTAATTGAGTATACGCAACACATTTTTCAACTAAATCGTTTAATGAAGATTCGTAACCTCATCAACTAATTAACTTTATTACCTGAGTACTCTAATGTTGTAAGGTTTCTTGATCCTTTATTTTGCCAAAAACGTTTTGTGTAATAGAAAAAAGTACAAGAACCTCAAGTTGTATTACAGTTAGTTTATTATTTACAATTTATATGTCCCACTTTTTATGACTGTACTTTTTACTTCAGTTGCATGTGACTCAAATCAGGTACTACCAGCAAACAATTAATCAAGACAAGTAAACATTATAGCAAGATTTACAAGTGTTCACTAGAGTAGTTATTAAAAATGAGCATCAGTTGTGTGATATTCCCATATTACTTAAGTAAATAATAGTTATTTTGTGACATCCCTAGTGTTCATGTTCTTACCTTACGTCGCGCTTAAAATTGGTTTATAGTCACTTATTTATTTATGTGACCAATTACTTTTCTGTGCACAGGTTCGCGACTCTCGAGTTATTGCTGGAGGTGGTGCCTGCGAAATCGCGTGTTCCTTGTCAGTTGCTGCTGAAGCTGACAAAGTTGAAGGTCTTGAGCAATATGCTATGCGAGCGTTTGCTGATGCTTTAGAGGCTATTCCAATGGCTTTAGCTGAGAATTCAGGTTTGCCACCAATTGTTACAGTTTCTGAACTAAAAGCACGGCAACTGTGCGACCATAATCCTCGTCTTGGAGTAGACTGTCTGAATGTTGGTACTAATGATATGTATCATCAAAACGTCCTCGAAACGTTAAGTTCCAAGCGCGCTCAAATCATGCTAGCTGTTCAACTTTGCAAAATGATATTGAAAATTGACGATATTCGTGTTTCTGTGGATGAACTATAAACGTTGCTTTTAGGTTTGGTTTTGTTATCAATGTGTAAAGTTTTGTTTGTGATCGAATATAAGTGCCGAACTTAAATTATAGTTTTAATTTCGCAGTCTGTGTAAAAGGACTTTATAGAACACCATTTTCTCTGAAAATCATTTTTGGCACTAATTATGTACTAATTGCTCTTCCCGGTGAACTATTTTGTAAGGTTGCTATTACATTTCAGATAAGTTGTAAACATGATGGAAATTGTGCAGTTCGTCCTATATAATGATTAGTAAGATGCCATTTCTCTAGTGGAATACATTCAACATTCCTGTTCCATCCATTCTGTATTTCACAAATAATCAGAAACATTTTTTCAGTCTTGTACTTGGTGATCACTTCTCGATAGTTTGTGTAGTACTTTAGTGGCCTTAGATCTGACTCCAGGTAGATCGTTTGCTGCTTGCTATCGAAATATACATGTCGGCTTTTCTCGTATATAATCATCGACTTAGATCGCGTCAGTGAATAACGGAATACGAGAATGGATTTCGAATACGGATATTTCATACAATCACCGATCCTGACAAACGATCGAAGAAACAGCGAAGCGAAACGACGCGCGGTGGAGAACGTATGTAAGCCAACTCGATTTAGCCAAGCATGAATCGATATTTATAGTCAGACAAAAATAAGTTACAGACATGTGATGAGTACGATAAGAAATGCACACACATACGCTTACATAAAATAATCAAGGTTGGTAAACGAATAAGTGACAAGGTTAGGATGTAGCTTGCGAAGAATGGATAGATTGATCTGTTCAGAGGCTAGAATAACCTATGTGGGTTTGACATAGTACCAGCCCCTACAGTACTACTAAATTACTTCGCCAATTGTATATGTTACGCGAAAAGGTTAGTTTAAAGCAATGTGTCGATTTAGACACCTTCCATGAAACAAATTTATTGAAACTTGTGTTCCCAAACGTCTAGTGTTCCTTGGCCATTGTACTTCACTCAGTAAGCCCTAAATCAAAACATTATATATTCCAAGTAAATGGGCAATAAGATATTGCATTAGTAAAATAGGAGCTTCTTGTATATCCATATTTCACTCGCACTGATTGGCTGAAAGAGGACCAATCTTTATTTTCCGATTGGGTTTGCATTGGACATGAAATTACCAGGATTTTGTCCTGCTAAAAATTCCACATTCATTTTGGGATTTCATTGTAGAATTCAACATACATATCTAAATTGTCTTACAAACTATATATACGAATAACATGAGTGGTCAATCGGTTATAATCAGTGTAGAACCCAGTATAGCTGTCCATCGGTCACCACAGCACATCGAAAAAAATCAACCAGACGAGAAACAGGATGTGAATGAGTATCGAAAGTAGTGGGAATCTTAACATTAAAAATAGTACACTAAAGCAGGAACAAATGCATTCGAAAGACGGGAAATTAGAAAGGATATATGAATTAATATTTAGGGAATGAATTAAGCTATTCTACTCGTGACGATTTTGCACCATTTCATATGATATCTCGAGCCATTGACCATGGGTACTACGTTGACCTCACTTGGGTAGTCTACACCTTAATATAAAGATCCGAACTGACACTCAGTAACTTCGTGGACTGAGGCTATGTTCTTGGTTTGCTAACCTTTAGATTCTTTCAATGCAGTCCTATTTCAGTTAGCATGCCACATCGGGGTAAGTAGTGGTTAGCCATTAATACGTTAGCTATCTCAACATCGCTTTTAGACCATTGCTCAGATGAACTTTAACTATAGATATATTACGTGAAATTCATTAGTCAGTTATTATTTACTTGGGCTATTAGTGTTGTTACGTTTTTCTCAACGAAGCATATCGTTTACATTTTACGGTCTCTAATCTATTAGTCTGGAATAAGGGTTTCTCAAATCACTGTGAATCTCGAGTTTTCTGCCAAGAAGAATACTCAACAAGGGGGGGTACAGATTAAAGCGAAACCTCAAGTTATTCGTTTTCATCTCATAAATGCTATTCAAGTTGAATTTCTTTCAAAATAATATTCAGTTCAGTCATAGGATCAATATCCTCAAATATCTCTAACTGGAAATTAGACTGATAGTAGATAATTTCCATTTAGGTTCAGTAGTACACGACAGGTGGTAAAGATGATTCACAAGTCGGTGAAAATCAGCATGTTATAATATTTAAAAGATCGCAAAATAAACTATTACTAAGGAAAGGAACATATCAATGAATTCATTACAGTTTTGGGGCTAAAGCGTACAATACGACAAGGTATTTTGTAGTTTCCATTAGCATGGGCATGTTGTCTTTCTGTTGGTTACTACCAACCATGAAACTTTGAATAAATGGTATATTTTTGAGCGTATTGTCAAAACTTCGCATAATAAGCATGTGAAATCTTTCCAACTGTATTATTTATTCAGGCTGTACAATTGTATTTATAGTTAATTTGCAAATAAAAGTCTGTCGAAAAATAGGACGATTACATTTTATCAGGTGGCCAAGAAAATTACTTAATCAAGAATTGAAGACATAATATGATCAAATCAAATGTGTGGATGAGATAATTGTTCGATGGATGATTATGAAAAAGGTGAAGGATAAATGTGGTGATTATAACGAAAAATTAAAAACATTAGAACATATTATAAACCGAATTATCGTGTATTTATTTATTTATTTATTTGAACACAAATTATCGTGTATAAAAATTATCAGGGTCATGGAAGAATAATGCCTTGTTCGTGTCCCTTTAGTTACAGAGTTCAGGTTTCAAAAGATGGTTCGCTAGCGTCCATACAGTACATAAGTTATTAATTTGCTCTCCTGTCAAATTAAAGTTAGGTTGACAGTTATGATATGAAACATTAAAAATAATAATTTTGTCGGAAACCGGCTCCGGTTGATATAAACAGGGTAGGTAATAATAATAATAAAGTCCAAATATTTGTTAATTAGCAGTTACTTAGGTGTGGATAATTGTACTCCATCTTTTCCGTTCTGTTCTGTACATATATACAGTGCTCCTACTGTTAATCTTTTCTTGTGTCAGTCAAAACCTTTCTGCAGTGTTTCGGTCCTTTCGAAACTGATCTTTTGCTTTGTTTCTAATGAATGTTGTTCTATTACAAATCTATTATTGAGCTCAAAGTTTACCGAGGAATCAGTAATATGTTTAAAACACTTTTTGTTTTCCTTCAACTTCACATTCAGCCGTCAGGAAATCTCTTCCAAATATACTACATTACACTCATGGCACATTATCTCACAGACAGTGTTCTATCTGTAACCTAACCTTAGATTTAACTAACTAGCATGGGGATGAACTCTTGCGTCATACTGATGTAGAATCTTCTTTACGACACAGGGTTACTGTGGTGTCCCTCCATTATCTTGATAAACTTAATATAGCTTATCAGTTTTGGTTGTGAGGACTCCATCTGAAGCCAATAATAGGTCGTAATAATTTTTCTGTTTTTAATTTACCAAATTTAAAATTAGTTGATCAGTAATGCAGTGATCACTATTAGCTTTGTTTGGAAGTAAATATCACGAAATTCCAGAAGAAAGCTGCACAAATAACCTGGAGAAATACTTTTATCAATCTAGCCATTTTTATATGATTATACAGATGAACTACTTAGGAGCAATTTAATTATGCATAGAAGTTATTAAAATAAATGAATAAAAAATCAGTGCTTATGATTGACAAAAGCTGTGTAGATGAAAAGGAATTTCTGCCTATTACAATAAACCTGTTTGTAGATCACAAAAAATTGGTCGAATACAAACTTTGTGGTAACAAATGCTTCGAAAAATTGGAAATAATAAGCACATATGAAAGCCAATATTTGTTTTAGAGATTGTGTTAAGGTACTAAGCTACAAATGAGTAGTATCAACTATTGTAAATAAAGTATTATTTGTCTGTTTCAATATTTCTGACAATACAAGATCGACTACTATTTTGACGTGGTAATCGAGCTCTCTTATTTTGAAAATGAAATCAAGCTGTAACAAGTGGAATTTTCATTTGTCAAGATATTAGACCTTTCGGCATGTTAGTAACAAATTTCAGGCAAAAAATCGAAACTATGCAATTGACGGAGTCGAAATTCGGTAACACTAATCTACTTTTCACTGATAATCATCTACTCTTGAGAACCTGCTTCGTCATCAGTTAAAGGATAGAAAAATTCACATATATCTTACACCCCTCGCTCTACAGATTTCTGGTACTGGAGGACATGTTTATGAACTACAGGACTTTGGAAGCTTATCTCTTGAGTTCTGCTGACCAGCTCACAGGTCACTAATTCTTCCGTGAAGAAACAAATTTCCATAGTATAGGAGGCTTAGAGGTATCACTCACTAGTCAGTTCTACTCAACGATTGCCCTACTATTTTTTTAGATTGCTTTGTGTTTTGAATATAAGGCTTTTCTCCGTAGGCTCATCTTTCTCCACACATCCAGTTTGTGAAATGGTGTTCATATGTTTTTAAAACCACTCAGAATAGTATATTGATACTTTTAATGCATCCAATGCGAAACTATTGAAATAAAGATAAATGATAATTTAAAATCATCATGAAGACAAATATAAGACGTAATTATTTTGCACATTCAGTTGAGACTTTATTTCATGAACGTTAAAAGCTGTTTTAAGGAGTCGAATACGAAAAAATCTCGGTAAAATTAGACTTATCCCAACCGTTGCTGCTACCTTGACGCGGTGGTCGGGCTTGCCTATCGTGATGAGCCAGTCCCTCAAGGTCCTACCATGTCAGACAGGTCGTTTGAAGAACGGTAAGACTAAACGCAGCAAACCCAAGGTCCGAATTCATACTGCTGACTGTACAGAGGTGTGACGGCAGTAAGGTGTTTCCTTCAGACAACTTGCGATGCTGCCTTCTCACAAAGGAAAGGTGAAGTTAGAAAAGGTTGACCCTAAAATTGTGCACCTCGCCTTATCCCACGGATTTCCGTCTCCGGTGGTAAGGCTCCATTAAGTACAGAGCAAGCACGAAAATTACTCACAAAAAGGTCGTGTGTGACCGACCTCAAACAG